GTGAGTTTTAAGCCACCAGGTCCGGGACGCAAACCGTGGTCGACTACGTGGGAGTCCAGCGACATAGCCATTAAGCTAACTGCTGGTTCCCAATAAAGTAATTCTTTAAAAAAGAGAAAAGATATAGTCAAGAATGCAAATGAAAAATATAAGACAAATCAATAATTAGCTTGAAATTATTGGGCTAAATAGAAATGTCATCATGTACTTTAGCCCTAATAAACATATATAATTAAACTAATTTGCAAAATCACCTACTACACAATAGAATTTAGTTGATTTCATAATGAACAAGCCCTATTTCTCTCTCTCTCTCTTTATATACATTTTTCTGCTGTCAAATGTTCTTGGGGGGTGGTTGAAGGCAGTGGTGGTGGCAGTGAGGAGGGGAATTTCCTTGTGCCTCCATTCCCAGGAGGAGGGAGCAGCATTGGAGGCCACTGTTTCCAGCGTCAGTCACAGCAACTTGTGATTGGCGTCCCAGACAATTCAGCTGCACATTCCCACACCGATGCGCTGCCCATGATGAGGAAACCGAGGCCTTGGACTAGAACAGAGTTCTCCTGACTCAGTCCAGGATTCCGTATTACAACATGCTGCCCTGGCCTTCATGGGACTAAGCAATGCCACCTACAGGTGGTGGGGAGCGACTGGCCCAACCTTTGGGCCTGGGAGGGGGGCTGCCTTTCTGGTGCTGATGCCACCAGTCTTTGCCTATCCAGGAGTAGAGGGCAAATGGAAATAGACTATAAAGGTTTTAAAATTTAATTTTTTTTCTTAATTTTGCTATAGGGCATGTGCACTCACCAGAGAGAGAAAGGAAAAATGAGAAGGCAAGCCGTCAGGTCCAGGATTCAAACCTTGGTCTGCCATGTGGAAGTCTAGTGCCTCACCTACCAAGCTACCTGCTGACCCCGCTTAAGCTTCTTAAAAGCAGTCTTTTCTCAGTGTGCCCCAGTATTAAACACAGGGTTTAGTACTCAGTAGGTGTTCAGAAGTCAGTGAGGTGGAGGAAGACAGAAGGAGAGCACAGTGGTTTAATTGCGTGGGGTGGGAGGGCGCGGGATGGCCTTGGGCTCTCAGATCACTTATCCTGGGCTTGCTTTCTGTCTCTGTCACTTCCTCAGCATGAGACTTCGAACAAGGTACATTACTTGTATGTGCCTCCATCTTTATCTGTAAAATGAGATCACAAGTTGAACTCTGGCCCAACCAGGTGGGGCTTTTGGTAGCAAACTGAGTTGCAGTCCTGAAAGGCACATGGTCAAACAAGGGTTCAGAACCCTGGGTCTGCCTGAAAACATGCAGGGAACAGGTGCAGGCACCTAGGATCCTGAGAAGCTGGAGGACTGGGGAAAGGAGATTATGGGATGAAAAGACTCTTCAAGGGTGCTTCTCTTTC